TTATAATTAAAATAATAAATAAAGGGAAAAAGTTGGGAGATTTTTTTTTTTTTAAAAAAAAAAAATTTTATATTGTTCCATATTTAGTCCTTAAATAATAATAATAACGATAAAAAAACTTTATTTACATTATTTGCATTACTCTGCATTATTTGCATTATTATACCGTTTAAGGGTTAGCATAAAAGGTTGGCTTACAGAATGTTACATTTGTATACACTTAAGATTACATGGGTTAAAAAAAAAAATAGATATTGTTTCAACTTTTTTTTTTATTTATTATTTCTTCTATCATATCTTTGTTCCATATAAAGTAATAGCATTACTATATTTGTAAATATTACGGGATAAAAGTATGAAAGTATGAAAAGTTTATTTTAAATAAATATACTTTAAATATACTTTAAATGAAATTACTTTAAACGTAATTATACCTGTTTTTTTTAGTTGTATAAACAATCTCATAATATTCAAACATCAAACATTCATAATATTCAAACAACAAACATTCATAATGTTCATAATATTCAAACAACGGTCATAATACATTTCATAATATTTAAACAACGTTCGTAAACATTATTCGTTGTATAAATACCGGAAGAATCTACCGCTGTCGTTACATGACGAAGTATAACGTCGCGTTCTACAATATTTACATGTCATGTCACATGAAATAAATCAATGTCCACTGTCCAGCAATATAAATTAATTTTACCAACTTTAGTAAACAACGCCTTTTTTTTCTTTCATTATTAAATTTATTTTTAGTAGTTGTTTTACAATTAAAAGACAATGGGATGATGCAACAAACTTTAATCATATTATACTAATATTTATCCTAATATTTATACATTACTTAGGTTTAAAAAAGAAATAAAAGGGATTGATTGAATGATAAAAGATATTAGGTTAACAAATGAAAAATTATAATTATGGTTATAAAACATTTAAAGTTTTTTAAAAATATTACTTTATTAGGAAATTCTAAATTTATGTACGGTTGATGTCGTATGACTTTGGTGATTCCATATGCATTCCAACTTTGATTAGATTGGTCATGGGCTGTAGATTTAAATGAATTTCTTGTGTTACAATCAAAAATAATATTATGAAATACCGTAACAATTTGTCTCTCTTCTAAGGTAGTTAAGGGAACAATTACAATGATATTTGTTCATTGAAGTACTACCGTACTAGGTATTACCCTTTACAACATAACAAAAATTTGAAACCGGTGAGGTGGTGGCTATGGATATAGCAAGTAAAAAAAAAGGTATATTTAGAAATCATGTATCAAGATTTACCAAAAGAATTTTATAGAATTTTATGATGTGATAATAATCGTTCTATTATTGGATAGATTGTCAAAAGACAATGTTTTTGTTTTTATTATTATTATGATTATTTTTATCATAATTATATATTTTATATTTATATATATGTACAGTATGTACAGTATATTTAACACATTACATAATATATATTTTTTTTTCTAGAAAAATGAACAAATAAACTTAAGCAAACATTTTTATTTTTTTAATATAAATAATCGGGAAATAGTTTAACTTTTAATGTACTTTTGCATCTTTTATAATGATAATAGTGATGCAAAATGTATTAATATTTAAAAAGTTAATTATTTTGTGTTTCTTTTAATCTTACCAAAATCATTTTATTTTTACTTAAAAGGAATCCTTTACTTAAAAGGAATCAATTCATAAAGAATTTGGAATCTTTTATTTATAAAAAAAAATTTAAAAAAAAATTAATTATTGATTTTAATGCAAAATATAAATAAATGCAAGATATATTATTCTCTTAACTTTTTAGAAATAAACAAGAAACAAAAAAACAAATATTGTTTATTTATTCGGCATAAATAAATATTTTTGGTTAGATTTGAAACCGGGGGTAAAATGATAAGCGAAAAAAAAAAAAGAAGGAAAAGATCATCGAAATTTTTCATTAGCGGTTGATTACTTCTTATCTTAGATTAACTTGACGCAGGGCAAGGGTTCATCCGTTCATGGGTTTATAATGGACTTCTCATTAAATAATGCATACGAAAAAAAAAAATGCAATTAATTAATCTCGAGTAACAAATTTGATTTACATTTGAACCTGCCGATATCTGAAATTAAAAATTTTTTTTTCTTTTTTTTTCCTTTTCTTTTTCATAATTTTCAATTTATTTAAAATTTATTATTTGTATCATCCTTTTCATTCCTTTACATTCCTTTTAGATTAAAATTACTTTTGATTATTATCATAAAAAAGGCGACCTGCAATCAAATTTACATTCGGGAATTTTGTCTTTTTTGTCTTAGACTAATTATCACATGATAAGTACACTTTACCTCATTGAAATATGTCATTGAACTTTTTTTGAACCTAATCACCTTTGAAACCTGTAGTATCACCTTACTTTTCATTGACTAGCGTGTTGTATATCAAAAATGCAATATAATATATGTTCAATATATGCAAGTCAAAGTTATAAAACACGAATAGGTGATTTTTTTTTTTTTTTACCCCAGTATAAATAAAAAAAAAAATGTCATAAAAATAAATATCTTGAAAGAAATTAAAATTATTTAATAACCTATCATACC